CAAATATATTGAAAGTCGTATAATAGAACCTGAGCATCAAGTTGCCTGGGAACAAACTTGTAAGCAAGAAGGTGAAAACACCAGTCGATTTGAATAGTTGGATTGGTGATATCCGTCTCCGGATTGGCCTGTCATTGCATCCTTAGGACAGTCACAGGACGCCTGTCCCTACAGAGGGGTCATGCGTGGAATGCGTTGCACCACCCACAGCTCCATGTACACACCCCATACGCAGTGTAAACCGGAAGGAATAAAATCGGGTGGCATGTGGATGGAAACCATGTTTCATTAACGAAGCTGGCCCACAATCCTTCAACGTCCACGGTAGCATTCCTTGTGTCTAATTTTGGAATCATGCGTACCAGACGAACGCACGGCGGTGGTTGGACCGTAGCCCGCTCCACACTGCATGGAACCGCCCTTTGGACCTAACACGGTCAAGTGGATGGTGTCCTCAGTCTCCCATGCAGTGACCAAATCTCTCCTGCTGCCGTTATAGTCGACGTGGAGGGTGTTAGATATGTGAGCATGTTGTCCACATTTGTCTTAAGTTCAAGCAATCATTGCTTATTACACGCAATTTTTAATGTGTCAAACATACATCCCACAGGCAGCCAGTCAAGTTTAACCTGACTGAGACGACAAGGCACATCATATGCGTCGTCGGTCTCAGTCTAGGCAACTGCACAATGACAGTGCAAATCCTGTATACTCACATACACTCCCATGCATTTCTACACATTTATGTGTGAACTCCCACAGTTTGAATGTGAAAACATGGGCCCAACGCACAATCATTATACGAACGTACATGGATAGAGGTTGGAGGTAGGACTAAAAGTCATGTTCATCAAGTTATGATAAATCGCGCGCGCTATACTACGCACCCAATTACAGACGATTTGTTGACAAATTTGCGCGGTACCTGTGTTCCGCCTGGCACACCAACCGGCGTTCTTTAGAATCCCCGTCTCGTGGTATGATCTGACTTGATCCGTCCCCAATGCAAAAGTCACTGAGTGGAGTCCCGTTGTATTTCTACACGATTGTCAATCGTCGCGTGGTTCCGTGTCAATGAGTATAACATAATATTGCGCTGGACTATGAGGGCTTCGCAGCTAGGCATGAGTATGAGAACTTAGTAACATGTACGAAAAGGATACTGAATGTGCGTCAGAGATTGAGCTGAGCAAATCAAAGTGAGCGGATTAAGGCGGATCTAAATGGTAAGTCACGGTATTGTAAAGCCCTAATTGCTATGCGACCAATTTGTAAACGTGAATGGGACGCTGTTGAGCACTTACAACAGACAAGGCCCCGTAAAACGCCAAAATTTTTCCTTTCCTGATCATCAATTTTCACCCACGTTAGGTCAAAGATGGCTGTTTCAGGCTGACAGCTTCCCTGGTCAATTTTTCAACTGTAGATTTTCCATAGATTAATAACCCCTTGTATTTACACAAAACTTATCCGCAGCTTGTAGCGCAGCGCTCTTAGTGTGTGGGCTATAAAAATTAGTAAGCTAGCAAATTCAACAAGGACGTTCTCATCTCATGCTCCCACTGTGTATTTGATAAAGACTTTTTAACTGGCTTCACGTAACTGCTTCCTGAAATCATACCGTATCATCATAATCCATAGAAAGACTTATTGAATAACAGATACGGAAACTGTCGTAAGTTGCGTTAGTACCTGCTGTGAAATATGTGTGGTACGAGGGTGACTCATGAAGCATGTCCGGCTTTTGGGCAGATCGGTTAAAAGTGGGAGCTGTTTCCCAGGCGAAAACGAAAATATTTTGTTAGTCCCTCAAACAACACATCCTATGCTCATGGTGCCAGAGTGCGTCGAAGCTGGAAGACTCGTCGCTGGAGCTAGTGTCAACTGTGGATAGCCATGGTGATGGAGGGTAAACTCCCCAGAGAAAACTCATTAATTCAATGGGGAAACATCCTGAGCCAATGGTGTACAATCGAAACATCAAGTGGTTTCAGGAACATTCGCTTCAGGAACGTTCGTGTCCATACGACCTGCACACCAACGTTCCCATTAGGTAGCGGGACTAATCTACCAACCAGGACAGCCGACCAAGCTGTTCTGATTGGTAAATCTTCCTTGGTTGCTTCCACACTACTTGTCTCCCTTTCGGTAGCTACTTGTGCAACAGGCTTTTAGCTCCAAGAGTTGTGTTCTGATTTCCGGCTGGGATTTGGAGCTAGAAAAGAACGATTCCAGTTCAACCGAAATCGCAGGCAAACTGGTACAACGTTACAAATGGCGACGGAAAAATTTGACAATTGCATGAATTCCTCCGTAGAACAATTTCAGACGCTACTACGGCAACAGCGGACACAAATGAAGCGCAATGAAGCTGATCGAAACCTTGACGCATCGGCGTAATCTTTAGTCTTCAGAAACAGCTTCGCGGGACATGCAGACAAATTCCGTTGATCTCCTCTACAATTCCATTACTGAATTCAATTAGGATCCTGATTCCTGAAGCACTTTCGATGCGTGGTTCAGACGCTGGGAAGATATGTTTAGAAGGGATTTTAGCCGTCAGGATGGCTCCTGGAAAGTGCGACTACTACCCCTAAACTTGGCACAAAGTAACATTCGAGGTTCGTTGATCACATCCTACCAAAACAGCCGAACGACCTCAGTTATGCCAAAGCTGTGTCACAACACAGCGAACTTTTCGGTGAGTCGACATCATTATTCTGAATTTGCTATTTGTGTCTGAAAATCCTCAAGCGGAACACAGACGACTATGGAGTGCTGGCAGACATGGTCAGCCGTGAGTGTGAACGCTTCAAACTGCACTCTTTGACAGATGACCAGTTCAAGTGTCTCATGTTTATCGGTACCTTACAGTCCCCGTACATTGCCGTGATCCGCACAAGACTACTCGCAAAGCTGGATCAAGACCCAGACACGACGCTGAGATCCCTAATGCCTAATGCAAAGCTTGATGACTGAAACATGACGCCTCCATGATCAACAGCTCTTTCGCATAACCGCGAAATATCTATGCATTGGCCGGTTCCAAACGACACAGGGATGAACAGTTCCGCTCAGAACTCACCAAATAGACCGCCTACTGCCGATTGGTCATGTCTCGAGCGGCATTTCAGCATATTCTGTCTATTCAAGAAGCATAGATGTCTAAAGTGCCATAAATGAGGCCACAAAGGAGAACTATGTAAGCAAGCTTGACCAGTGAACGCAAAACAGTTCCGCCTGAGAAGAAAGTGAAAAATACCATGGCAACATTCCTGTCAGTCGTTGCGGCTTTCCAGAGTGAGTGTAAATCCCGCATATGTTACATTACCGTGCTTATCAAGGGGATTCCTTCCAGGTTGTAGTTTGACACGATCTCTGATATAACTTGATTTCCGAGGGCACATGGAATCACATCAAGTGCCCGGAGCTTGCTGCCTCTGACAAAGTAGTTCACAACGCATCTGGCAGAGTGTTGAATCCGGTTGGAGAAACTGCCTGCAAATGCGCTTTCAACTGGGTGGAAGAGATTGGAATATGCTACCTGACACATCGACCGAAACTAAACCTGCTTGGTATCAGTTTGATCGAGAGGTTAGGACTCTTGGTAACAGTTGTACGCCGGGACCCAATGCGATTATGAGCAAAAAACTCCGCAAGCCACTCCATACACGTCGACCAGCTCTTGAGTCTTCATACGGCAGGAGAAACCGAAAAATAGAGCAGAAATTCAATCGGCGACATGGAGCAAAAGCGACGTCCATTCAAGCCGAGAGATTTAGTGCCCACACGCGACTACCGAAAAGGTCTTGCATCATGGACTCTATGTCTGATCAAATGTAAACGTGAAGCGGTAATTTACGATGTGCTCATTGGATCGCAAACCTGTGTCCGCCGTGCAAATCAGTTGCACTCAACGCTGTGCCGTCCAGAGAGGAGAAGTCTACCGTTCTGCCTTTTGACCTTCTTGTGGATCCTTTGAACTTACTGAGACTAAACAGAGAGGGTTACAGTCAATCGAAAGGTGCATCCGATTGTCCAGAGACAACTACAACGACACTTCAGCCAAGGCGATGGACGGACAGACGGGGAACGTCGTCCTCAAGACTGCAAGTATTTCCATGCTTATCATCCTACACATCTAGCACCATCTCAAGAGGGGCGATGTCAGGGTGCGTAAAATCTCCCTAGAAAACGCATCACTTCAATGGGAAAACAAACTGTGCCATTGGTGTACAGTGGAAACATCAAGTGTCCATACCACCTGCACACCAACCTTCCCATTAGCCAGCGGAACTTATCTACAATCAGGACAGATGACCTAGCTGTTCTGATTCATGAATCTTCCTCGGTTGATTCCACACTACTTGTCTCCCTTTCGGTAGCTGATTCTGAAACAGGCTTTTGCCTGTACCGGCATCAAATATCTCTGGTTTCAGTAAGCCCGGCATGTGATTGACCTCAGCGCTGTCTTGAAACGTGCAAACATTGGGAGTCGCTTACAACCAAATGAGCAGGTAACACGCCCCTCCTAATATTATACTTTAACACACCAAGCGTCACATCACCTAAGAGATTTTGTTTTACCTTCCTGCACTCGCTTCACACTGTTTATCTTTACTTGTTTTGACAATGTCATGAGAAAATTCGCCCTACACTGTGCACTCTGTACATTCAAATGTTCCAGGCTCCCTAGATTCACAAGAAATCCAAAAATGGCGGGTTTGTTGGTTACTTTTTCACCTTATCCAGCTGATTCGCCGATCGCTGATGCACTCGGTTTGTCATGATAACCCTGCTTTTTCTTTTGATGCTAGAAATACTTTCGAAGGCTTTCTCCTAGACACCTTACAAGTTCAATCACTGATGATCGCGAAATGGTTCGCTGTAAACTGTTTTAACTTTTTAGAGACCCTTTTCTTAACTCCATCCTGTCGCCGATGTGTGAACCTGTGTCCATGAATTCAACCTCTGGCTGTCTCTCCCTACTTTGTCTCTAGCCTGTCCCACTGGCCAATGTCAGGTCGTCACATGAGGAGCTTGAACTGTCGTCCCAGATGCTCCCAAATATTCTGCCTGCTGCGCTGCCTGTCCAACCCATTCGACAACCTGTGCAGTTGTTACCCCAACATTACACGACAAGCGCCGCAGTACGGGTAGCTCAACTCGAAGCCGAACTGCAGACATTGGAACTCCGGAGAGGTGGTCTCAGTGGGGGTGACGCTGATCCGGTGATAGACCGACTACGAGCAGAATTGCAGTTTCAACGGCGATTGGCGGAAAGGGAGGCAGCACGCAAATATCCACCTCCGCTAGAAGAGCCACGATCGAATGAAAGATACGATCGAAATATTGTCAATAATGTAGAACAACACGAGGTATTAGTCGGGCCCGCATGCGCGTGTGGTCTTTTTCGTTCCATTCTGTTGAAATCATTGTTTGCGTGCATTCTGGAGGTGCTGAATACGTCGAGTTTCGCGATGTCGGGAAGATACCTTGTGTTTATGTCTATATACTGAGTGCGTCTTTTGGATTTATACAGGTGGTACTTGCAATTTGGCGCGCAACTAAGAGTCACGGACGACTAGACTGTGGTATATCGTTCGTGCCTATATCTTGTACATTCGTGCTTTCATGTAAGCCAACAGAGTGTATTGTCTAGCCCGGAACTCAAAAGAAGGCTAACTTTATCATTCTCTGACGTGCGCCATAACCTTACGAAATCTGTTGTCTATACGCCCGAGACGAAGATTTTGTCATTCGATCGAAACATCCAATTGTTTGGTTTGCTTCTTTGTTCGCAATGTAAAGCATTTTGTATACCTATAAATGGGAATCCTAACTGGGATGGATGGCGCACGTTTACCTCCTCTGGTCTAATTCCCAACCCAACTACCATCGGGCTGAAAAGTCCCATCTGACAAAGCCGTAACTGCAATCTTTCAGGCCAATAAACAATACAGCTTCCTAGTAGATCACCCATTTGTTGGCTCAGCGCATCTTCAAGATAACCTGTTATAAGTCAAGTTGACGCAGTATGTGGCACTGTACTAGTTCTAGATAGTCATGTAGATCCAAAGATGAGGATACCAAGTAGGGACTTTAAACTCGCCCCGAACGGCTAGTTGGCATTGCACACAAGATGTGCGGCACTTAACGAGTTGCTTTGTCGGCCGGTGGCTGAATGGATTGCACGTCTGGCTTACAACCATCAGGTCACTGGTTCGAATCCGCGTAGGGGCGCGTCGCTTAGCGGTATACTCAGCCCATGCGCGACCGATGGTGGTCACGTGGCAGCGAAGCGTCGGTACGGTGTGCCGGCGTACTGCCGATAACTTTTGTCACCCCTTAGACGGATCATTTACAGTAAACACTGTGGCATGCAACGGCAACAAATAGAAGTTCTTGACATCGGAAATCGGTCCGAGGGCGCAACAATTTGCGTCCACCAGCGGCTTCTGGTCTTTCACATTGGCTCCGCTGTTCCGTCACATTGGGATCATCAGCCTACTTTTAGTGATATAACTACTGGCTAAACGACTTCGTCTCGGTTTGTGGCAACTATTCGCCTCACTCACACAAGGCCGAACCAATACTGATGCGTTTATTTGAACTACGCACTTAGTGTAAACTCTCTGGTTTATCGGCACTCACGTACTGGTTACTTGATTGGTCCGACGTCCATTGTCTATATGCATAACCATACCCTTAATTCCTCAACTTCTCTCATACACCGTCAAAAGATCTGATTAACAAGAGCTTTAAGTCACTAGTGTGCAGGAGCCTGAATTAGTAGCACCGTTCTACTTGTTGGAGTGCTTCCTTTTGGTAAGCAGTACGTACTGACCAACGCGGTGCGATATAAATGCTACCGTATCCGTTGTGACAGGTTTAGAGGTATCACTGTGCAACCGAGAAGCCGTCGTTGTCATATCCCAAGCGGCTATATGATCCGGACCACGTTTTGACTCCAAAAGCTAAATCCCTGTTCGCGCTATACCCCTTTGTTGCACTCCGCTGCACAAGTTCGGGGTGTGTTACTTCTGGAAGCTTTGAATGAATTTCGATCACAATATTCCCGTAATTCTCTCTTATACATGTGAAACGTTTTGCACTAAACTTATTTGCTCATGAACACGCAACTCAGTATTAGAAACTCATAAGAAGGGCAGAAGTATTGATTTGTGTTGATTGTGCGCTAGTGTATCGCAATTCATTCTCTATGCTCTCCACGATCAGTCTGCATGACTAGTCCCCGATACACCAAAACGGTTGTTTTCAGGGGGCAAGTTCTTGGATGCTCTGCGCCGCACTCAAATCGGAACTAGAAGATGCTGTGTTAAGCATAACACACAACAGCAGAGGTCTATATGCAAGGAAATATTTTATTTTAAATGCATATCACTTACGTTGGACACTGCAGAATCAGTTTCCTCAATGGATTGAGATTGTTAACTGTATGCTTATTCATTTGAAGTTGTAGTTTTTCCTGTTTAACTAGTAGGTGGTCTGATGTAACGCATTCATCATAAATTTACGCTCCGAGGATAAGGTGTGTTTGACAGACTATTCGTTGAAAACGCAGACAATACTTCGTAAGCGTGTTACTAATGCAATAGTCCAACTTGGCTTTTTTGAACCATTTCAAGGTCTATTTTTTGCCGTTGTCGACTACAAATAGTATATACCATCACAGAGCAGCTGACATGAATAATCAACTCTGTCCACTGTACGCACCCTGGAGCACTGAACTCGGATCCACGGAGTATTTACTTAATGGTAACTATAGGCAGCATTTACGGTCAGGTACTAAAGGTGGGCCACACCTTCGACTCAATGTAACTCTCACCTCAGCACAGTTAATTCCACATGTCAAAGCCCTTCCACGACGTCACCACCTAGCGAAAAAGAAAACCAGCGGCAGTACGCCGGTGCATTGTGCCAAGGTTTCGCTGCCGTGCGACCACCACCACTCATTCGTGAGCTAAGTCTAACGTCAGGTCGTTCACGACTAATCGGATTCGAACCGGTGACCTCCGAACTACAAGCTAAGCGCGTAATCCTCTCGGCCACTGCACGATACCCCGTGAACTCAAGATTGGTGCTCTAGTTGTGCAACCGAGAAACGAATTGCATGGCTTGGGTAAATCACCAATAGCATCACCCACATTCCGTGAACGAGGAAAGACTGAGTCACTAAATTGGTACACAGAATGTATACGCACTCGCCTTCAATTAAAGTTCGCTCACAAGTATTCTGGAAAAGGTATGGTCCAATGCAGATTTCGACCCACAGTACCTGCATAACTGGTCACATTCTCTAGTGAATAAGTCTCAAATAACCCATGCTTTTGAATACGCTCAGGTCATGGCTCGAGCCAACGTTTAATACAACCCTAAAACAGATGAAATACTTTTGAGTTAAACTTTAAAGAAAGCATATGCCACCGCTCCACCACAGTTTGAATGATTTTAATGATGGAGCTTGACTGTTGAGCTACTTCTTCATTAGTTCACTGTATGAATATCATTATGACGGTGAAACAACCTTACATTTTGTTCCCGTCCATTGTCTGCACCTGAGCTCGACCAAGTGGTACCTCATGACAACCGTATGATGTCGCCTTACAATCTTGCTCACATCGGAGTACTAACGCAAGCCTTTTCCGATGGAATTTCACTGTACCTATCTGCCTGTTTTCCCTTCGTCTCCGATGGAATCAATGTTAACAGGGCTGATATTCCGACGAGTCCAAGCTTGAATTCCGACGAGTAATTTATACCTAGGCACTCAGGAGACCCTTGGGGAGATTGAGACGTAGAACATCTGCTAGTGTGCCAAGAATGTCCAAGTAAAGAGCGAAGAACTTCATGAAGTAGTAACGGCCCGCTTTGATGGTTGCGAGACGTTCGTTCATTGATCCACCTTCGTCTGTTCTGGCTATTGACGTGTCCATGCTAGCTTTACCTGCGCATCTGTTCTTCATCCACATCACACCAAGGATTCGTCACGTGGTTACTAAGATGCCACGACCATAAGCCACCAAAGCTATTTTACTGTGGTGGCTAAATTGGATCTGACAAATCAGTATGGTGCCCACTGTTGCTTGGTTTGATCGCCCACACAAGTTTATGTTTCTATGATATAGTCTAAAAATACCACCAATATGTATACCCGTATCGTTGTTGGAAACATCTAGCTTCTTCACTGCTCTAGTTTCGTCGTTCCTGTTACCCCTGCCTCCTCTCACAGTCTATCTGTCCTTCCATCTCCATCACTACAAAGCCGAATGAGTTCAAACCGTTTGTCGGCGACTTCCAGTCCAGTCAGCGTGAATGGGAGCGGAAACGAAGCGAGGCTGAACGCGAACTCGAAATCAGGTAAGTTGAATGGCTTTCTTGTCTGCCTACTCTAAGTAGCATTTTGTACACGTGGAAGCTGTACATCTTTGGAGTAACTGCAGACATGTCACATTCACTTATATTTTTAAGCCTAGCAACCTGTGGGGTATCAATTGCATGGCTACTGAATGTTGACTGTAAGGCAACCACAAAGATGCCCGATGTTTGAAACGAATTCGAGCGGATATCGTTGGAACATCATCACATCTTCTCCTCAAAATGTACAGCATTATTGTCGCATTTTGTGGCAGACAATTTGGTACATTTTATATGGTACCTTACCTACCTGTCCCTTTTAACTTTGGCCCTGACTTGATGGCATGCATGAAACACCTTCCTACTATGCATTACCCTTGCTACCTGTCTTTTTACTCACAGCCCATCGGGACGCATGTGAGTAATCCCGATTGTCTTACTTTTTCTCAGCGCTTTCTATCACACATACTATTATTGCTTGTCTCTATGGGGTACCGCTTGGCACCATCTTTGGGCACAACAGGCGCTTCCACCAGACTTCTATACCAGCGCATCAGCACTTGACATAGAGCTAAGTACTGAAGTTCTTTCAATAAACCAGCATGGTATATCTAACCAACTGGCACCTGACGATCTTTAGCTCGGAAAATATTCACTTCACATTAACTAATTCTCAGCTCGGGGCAGAAGCACCAGCAGGATAATCGCTTGTACCTAACGTTTTGAATGTACCGATGACTTAGCCTTTGAGGAATGCCACCAGCAACGGCTGACTCACATCGGCTAGCTAGAACCTTCTCATCTCTTCACATGTATCTTACAAGCTAACGGCTACACACGGAAGAACCTGTCAGTATATGAGAGATGGGATCACCGGTGCATCTCAGATCGGGCAATGAGGGTGTGCTCGAGAGCACCTGGACCTGTTCGAACAATTGCATTTTATAGTGCTTCGAGACCTGCTAGCCAAAGTTCAGACTGGATTGAGACCATTAACAACACCAGACGAACGAAAACCTAACGCTAATAGTCTTCATTTGATAAAATCGACATAGTCAAGCAGCGTTCTGTAATGCGCGCGATATCGCTGGAAAATGTCAGGGAATGTGCCACTCGCCATATCTCGGCCAGAATCTGTTGGTAGAATGGCTAAGGCAACTTTGTGCACCGACCACTCACCTTTCACACAACTTTGATATAGCGCGTTTCCTAATCTTTCAGGAAATCCCCTTAATGTCACCGTTTACAGTTCATTTGGCTGTGCAAACTGATTTGAAATAGATTTATATATCAAAGCCTCCGAAAAGTAAGTCAGCTTTCTACTCTTCTGCTTTTTACCAAGGCAACCAGCTGCGCTTCAGAGTGAGGTAGGTATACCGTTCGGATAGCTTACCAGCCAGCTCATACGGAGTCCAGCTGTCATAACTTAAAAAATACATGTCCCACTTCCAGCTTTTCGCCTGCAACAGTTGTTCAACAGGCGTTCTGTGTAAACGCATACTGCCGTTTCTGTGGCGAGTCATGCACTATCTACCCTAGGCTAGCTTGATCAAAGTCATCACAAACTGACAGCAGAACCAAATTCTCGCGACTAATTGTGAGGTCCTCACTCATTGTCACGCGTCGCCATCATGCCTGTTGTTTTCCATTTTAATATCAATCCATGTGTGATGTACATGTGATAGACGTTCTCCACACCTATTGCTTTAATACCCAAGGAAATCAAGCTGTATAACTCGAATCCAAGCACCTATAAAGCCATGATAAGATATGCCAGTGAAATTTCCCGAAATTATTAAAACTTTAGGCGCCAACGATTTATCGTTAAGTGGATTACAGAAATCTGTTTCCTGAGTCGTATCTCTTTATGTTCCCTTAAACTTTGTGATCCATAAACTCATCAAGGACTCGTTCTCTTAACCTCCCGCAGCCTAGGTTCCACGAGGCGACTGTCCTTCGAACTTAGAGAACTTAAAGGATATACCACCATTTGGGTCGGGCCCAACCTCTATACAGCCAAGTTCTGAATCTACTGATTAACAGGGCTGCACGCTAGTATTTCCTACACCCCTTTACTGGCTTAAACTGCTACTAAATCACTGGGTCGTTATGATGCGGGTGCCAGTAATTCCGAGAGTTCACTCGGTTCATTTATCCTGGCATTTGTATCGGTCCTGGCTGTGGAATCACCGAAGTAGTGATTATGCACCTCCGCTAGGCTCATATGGCTTGTCCAAATTTCAGTCACCCTATGAATCGGAGTAACCTAAATTCATCGTTCCGGAGTCGATTGACACTGCATGAATCGTACCTCCTGCTCTTGGGCACTATGAGACTGGTCGTTCTTATTCATTGATGCTATGAAAAGTGTTACCTGTAACTGGTGAGACTACCAACTGGACAATCAGGAAGTCCATCAATCGATACGTAGAAACAGCCCCGCTGGTCTTGTGTTACACTGTCTCTTGATCTAGATCCCATTCGGTCAGTTTTGGGATTTCACTCACTGCTTGTTACGCCCCGATTTCGGTGCATAAGTTTTGCTAACATGAAACCCGTCTGGTTAAAGCCTTATGATGATTGGAAGATGCCGTTGCAACAAGGGCCGAAAGACGTGACCCATAGACTTAACACCGATGGCACATACTGTTTTACAGGACGAGACTCCCTGGATCGGCCAACTTAGTTGCTAACCTTTTATTCCCAGATAACGCTGTCAAGAAATCAGCAACTCTTCTGAATTCTATTTATGGTAATGTAAATGCGCTTATCGGCTCTACTTCACGTACCTCCATTTTCTCATGCCATTTTCCTCGTGTTATTGGCATTGCTGTAGCGAAGGGTTTCACAAATATATATATATATATATATATATATATATATATATATCACACTACTGTGCTCGGATTATGGTATACGGATTGAAATGTAAAAAGCGTCTATGCAGAAGCTGGCTGAGGCAGGTTTGCCATTCTCTCATAGCAGACATCGTTGAGGTCTCCAGATTTAAATCGGCGGGCACATAAGTACGGTGCTCGGGCTGACCACAGTCCATGCACTTGTTCGCCCTCTAAAAAGCTTACTCATCTTGAACTTTTGTGTTCTATGTCGAGAAGATGCGTCTGCGATAATTTTTCAAGCTTTTGTATGCTCAACCTGACTATTAGAGTCAACCATTTCTGTTTGAGGCAACGCAATACCTAAGTGGTACATGCAGGTCACATAACTAACTTGCGTGCAATACACAATTTGTCTAAGGCATATAACAATCTACGCTACACTATTACCCAGTATATCCCCTGAATATTACCTGGATGTAATGCACAGTCCTACTTAAAACACCTGTAATGTTTACGCACAATTCAACCCTACGCTCGTTCGGATCCATCTCGTCTATTAGGCAATCGTATTGGAACCTGCGGCTTGCGTTTGCCGGACCACTGTTAGCCATTACTTCGCCGAGGGCCCTAATGCATTTTCGGACTCTAATGAATGTTAATTTTCGAGAGTGTCATTAAGCACTTCCCATCGCTGTCCACTTGATAAAGCATGCTGCGTGTCGTACAATGTGCCCGTCTATTAGAACTTCATATCTCCGGTCATGTGCAGCACGTATTAAAATGCCTCAGCTTGGCCATAGCTCACCTTCGTCGCCCGCCAACTAGCAATCATAAGTATACACCAATTGATATGCGCAAGCAATTCACTCAATTTAAGCGATACAATTGCATGGGAACTACTGCTGTCCTGCGCGATGTTGCATCACTTCAGGTGGGGTCATGCCACAGAAATACGGCGCGGACAAGCTGGATGGCAACTCCAATCCATCGAAACGGCTTTGAACACCGGGAGGACTCTACCGATTTTCAGTTACATTGCCGAACATTGCGCGCCCTGAGTAGACCCCGAGCCATTCTAACGGCAGTCCGGAGATTCAGTCGGATCTCTCACGACGCACTACGCACAAAAGCGCGGCGTCTGCCTACCCCAACTTGTATGGAACTTCACGCGACGAGGCGCAGACTAGGGATATTTGAACGATCGATAACTTCCGTTCAGTGTTTGAGGGCAGAGTGTTTCGCGGAAAACTGGATGCCTGTGGGCTCTGTCATCATCATCATCATCATCATCATCATTACACACGTTAACTAGAGGTGGGAAACACATCAGCTATTGTGCCGTAATCCATAACAGAAAAAGAAAATAAATACAACAGTTGCATGCCAGCTGGGCTACCAGGAACGGATGGCCATCGTTCCGGAAAGCTACCAGCCGGCTACTAGGCAACAAGGAAAATAATTCTGTAAAATTATATTACGCTACAAACTGAGATCGTGGTTGGTGGGGGAGGCAAAAAGGGATGGGGAGAGACAAAGAACCTCAGCACGAACGCCATTTAGGTCGACTCCTAGCCATGTCAGCAAGTGTATCTAGCCAAACGTCTTCACCGTCTGTTGGACCCTAACCAGGGAGCCGTGAAACTCCAACCGAGGCCAGCTCCAAAGTGAGCGCCTTCATTCCTCTCTAGCAAGTCATTGCTTGGTCACCCCTCCTCTTCTTCCACCCACACCCCCGGTGAGCAAACAACACAATTTGCGAGAGTCAGTGGTCTGGCATGCGCAACTCGTTGCCGAGCCATCGGAGCGTGGTGCGTGAAATGACGGTGCTGAGCGATTCATTTCCTTCTCCTTTGCCGAAAACAAGGTGTCAAACACGCTCGTTGCTCACGCGGTGTTCCCACCAGATATGAGCCAAACTGCGAAGGCGCCGATAGTCGAACGTGACTAGCCTCTTTATGTCCGCTGATCTAAGAGGTCAGGTTTCACAACCGTACAGTAGGGTCGAACGTACCGCTTGATTGTGCACTCTACCCTTCAGGGCGAGAGTGATGTCGCTTTGGCGCCATAAGTGGCGAAGATTAGCAAAAGCACTTCGAGCTTTTGCTATACGGTTCGTGATTTTATCTTCAGTCCCACGGGCGCTGATACAATTCCCAGGTAGTA